GATATTCCTAGTGCATCATTCGTTATGTCTTCAATCTGCTGATACAAGAATGCTGCACTCGCAATAACTGAGAAAATAAATCATATTCCTATCGATTTCATGCAGGTATATCTCAATGAAATGTCGTTAAGGTTTGTTAGGCCGGTTCGTTAGTGGCTACCCTATGCCGACACCACGAGGTGTTGGCGAATTCCAACTCTTCGATAGGGAATGGACTCTAACCCCACACCCCAAAATAAATTTCTCAATATCAAAAATGGGGTGGTAAGATAAGAGGAAACTCGGACTAAGTTAACCCACGACAACAACAACAATTACATGAACCAGCCTTACGAAATTTAGTATTAGATCTTTTTCTCATTAACGTTATTTGCTAGAATACTAATTATACTTATTTAACATAGTGAAATCTAAACTAAATTACCTTTGAGCAAACTGCCTTGTGTTGGTTTTTCCTGGCGATGTTAAGCTGTTCGTACGGTCGACCACACGCTTTGATCCATCGTTTCATCTTTTCCAAATCACGTTTATCGAGTCTCAAAACGTATAAAACGGCCTCCTTCCAACCTTTCCGGATATCTCTCATTTGCATTGCACGATCCTCATACACATCGAAGCACCCTTTTGTCCATACATCGCAAAAAATCACGAAAGTCTGTAATGCAGCTGTATTTTAACCATACGTTTGTTTGTGTGTAAAATACGGCTGGTGTTACCGAAGTACTGGACTCTCTTATCCGATTGGTCAATATTTGTGGATTTGATTGGCAGGTCGGATCTAAGCATTTCGGCCAGCGAAGCAATCGGAAATCATGACTACTTATGCAGTCATACGCAACCGCTCTCATTTAGCTCTCAACATTTGAATAATCAAAATTAGATCACCTTCCAAGTTAAAATGAGTGGGAGTAAAAAAGCACTTGAACAGAATCCAGTTGTTTATACGCGATCTCAAGGGTACGATAGATCTTTTTATATTTTAAGCATTCATTTTACTCATTAGATATCGCCGATTACATAAATTTGCAAGACTAAATTCGGAAACATTTTCTTTTTAGTATAGCATGCGTCAGATTTAAACGGACAAAAGCGGGATTGAAAATAGGAAAAAGAACATTGAACATGGAAATTGCAGGATACAATTTAGATTAAGACGTACATTAGATGTTGATAATGCACTATTTATCGTCAAGGTATAGACATTAAGTCCTGCTCGATAATGTAACATGAAAGTTCCTTACATTGTCGAGGGCGATATTCAGCTGATATCAAGGCATTCGCAGGCCACATCGCAATCCACGAACGATAATCAGCTACGCTCTTTTATGATTCGTGTTCGCCAGAAATTTCTTTATTTTACATGAATATATATCGTATTACCGATGATGTATTAATATTTATGCGTACTCCTGAAAAACGAGGAAATCTCAGCATAGTAGGCCACAAACGATAAAGAAGGTTGCATGCGATTATGATATCCTGGCTGACTTGTATAAAGTTTACACATTCGTCAGTTATTCTTAATATAATGTGGAATTGTTTGAAGCTAAACGATGTGCACGAGAAATCCGTCTATAAATCTGCCATTACGGCAGATTTTCTAGAGTACGGCATCCCAACTTTAGCACATTATCCATACAACTCTGTTTAGGCTCCAAATAATTTTGTCTGAGTGCAGTTATGAAATAAATCTCTGATGGGCAGAAGATTTAAAATACTCAAAAGTGGATGTCAAGTTTTCCAGTGTATCGAAAACATTCAGCAAAAAAGATAATACAACATGCCATTTAAGAAAGTGTATGTTGAGGTGTATGGTGAGTAATTTGAAGGGCAGCTCTGACGTAACAAAGAAATTATTGTATGGTGCTCTAATAATAAAACGTTTTTCAAGTACCCCTGTAGATGTCGCTTGCTGACTAAAATTAGCCGGTGTTTTTATCGCTCAAGATAAAATATTTCATTGCGTAAGATTCTACTGTAGACCGCAACTCTGATAAAGTCCAGCATGTCGCTGAAGATATTCCTAAAATTATTCATCTTTAACAGTGATAAATTCAGGCTGACAAAACTTATAAGACGCAGATTTAAAGTCAATTTTTCCCGCACAAGTTTGCGTCAAGTAAATAGAAAAATGACAAGTAAGAATTTGTCAGTTCATATGGTGGGGTTAAAATGTTTACGTCCCACAACCATTGGATCCGTGTCAGCAATATAAAATATAGAAAATCATGTCAATGTCACGAGAGCTAAGAAAACCAAGAATAATCCAATTGCAATTAAATAAAGTGTGCGTGTGTGTGTGTGCAATTTTGATTTTTAATGAAGGCTACAATATCTGCTCTGTAGCAGTTAATAATGCACTGAGTCATTATGCCTCAGATATGTTGCACAATTAACCACACAGTCACATTAACCTGACACCAGGTCGACCAGTCCGAATATTAACCTCTTAATGCTGAGCGCCTAGCGAGGCAGCTGTTAGTACAATTGTTATAAGTCATTGATATGACTTGGTCGGGATTCAAACCCGCCACTTCCGGCGTCTGAGGCGGACGCTGTAACCACTTAGGCCATGTGAGCGGTAGTGGAAAGAGACGTGTTATATTATCAAGACACGAACTAAATTGTTTTGTTCAATTTCCCCAAGTTTCTTCTCTACATTACAGACAGATGCAATTCATACGTTGCATTTATGTCGGACACGATATGTCTACATCTACTCTAGCGTTCGGAAGACAGAAGACAAAATCTTTCATTCAGGTTTGAAAACTAGAAATCACCTTTGCTATTTAGAAACCCCACAAAGGTTGGATAACGTAGGGAAGAAGACTTGTGTTACTGGTCTAAGTCAAAGCCTTCTACTATCCGTTAATGTGCCCTCACATCACCTGCGCATGCATGCGAACCTTGTTAACTTCAAGTATGAGTTCTTTCAATTCATTCACAAATGTTCTTGGTGGGCCAATTATTTACCGCATTATAACTTATGGTCGGAACGTGACAGCTTAGAATCAGGCTCTTGCGGAAGATAACGTTTCTTTAATAATTGATGAAACTTTAAAGCATATGCTATTTGTGCATGAAAATAAAAGTTAATTAACGACGTAAGGTTGATGTCAATTACTATTACGAGATAGGCATAATTCTTTATAACGTAATTTGGTTTGAAACAACCTCTGAACCTTCTTGTCTGTTGTTTGGCATGCTAGGGGTTCATCTTGAATTCAAAATGCAAACCGTCGAGTATGTTACTGACTACACACGCCAGTTGACCATTGTTGTGTATATTTAATTAAATAGTTTCATAGTTATGTTTTTATTTATTTTTTTATTTCATTACATGTTATTGTACTTTAGCATTAAAAATTGCCATTGATCTTGTCCAAAAACTGAGTTCATTTCTGTTTGACCCAAATTGATATATTTTGTTTTATTATGTGCAACATGTAATCCATAGCTAAATTATTCTGTATTGAATGGGTTTAAAATCAATATTATTATTAACAGAAGTTAATTTGGGTATTGGTCTCAGTTTTGGAATTTTACACAGTCCAGGTTCTGATTTCTATATTGTAAAGATCAGAATAGTTCTAGAAGGTTTTCTTTTCCATTAAGTAATAGTTGTTATTGTTTTTATAAAAGACCAATTGTGACCCGAGGTAAGTAGAAAACTATATAATCTTGTAACTACGAGGATTTTTTTTTTCAGTCTTTCTTTAAGAACAAACAATTTTTAATTTGCATTATATGTTGTGTCCAGTATTTCATTTTGGGATTGGAAAATTTATTTCTTCAGATTATTGAATTCGAGTGATTATTTTCTCTTGAAACACAAAGGTGCTCTGATAAAAATTCTTAGAGAAATTCACTGGAATTTATTGTGTATTCAAACCTGGAATTATGTTACTGTGATTCAACATAAGACTGTTGGCCCCTAAACAGTCTGCTAGATACCACGGACACATCATAGCCGTCAGTGTTTTGATTGATTCAGAACATGTACTGAATGTTATTCCGAACTTTAAATTATAATTCTTGGATTATTTTGGGAGTAAATTCTCACTACTGTAAGTTCTTTTTTACCATTTTCCCTTTGTATTCTAGGAAAATAAATTATTTGTTAAATTTTACAAAGCTTTTTGTCTTTCACTCTTTTCTGTTGCTTATTTTAAGAGCATGTGAAATCATAACTCCATAGGAAGTTTATTTGTAACAGCTTAAATTCAGCAACATGCCTAAATCTAAAGGAAATGCTAATTTAGAAGCAAAATCTAATTTAAAAAGCAAAGTCTAATTTTTTTATATTAAACAATTGCCACCATACAGAATGGAGTATGTTGATAGAGATAGCCCTGAAAAAATAAATCAATTAAAATGAGTCACAGATGCGATTCAGATATATAAGGAGTTGTGTAAATGACGAACATTTTTATTTAATTTTATTTAACCAAGATCAGAAACTTCAGTCCCTTTAATTCTGGTCATCATTTTATTGAATTCTGTATCGGTACACTTTAATACAAATAATATAATCATACAGATTAGAAAACTTTTAATTGTACTTTAAGGGATCTCAAAGCCAGGTCCGCGAGTAAACGGCACCTATCGCATATATATATATATATATATATATATATATATATATATATATATATATATATATATATATATATATATATATATATATATATATATATATATATATATATATCTTCTTGGTAGTCTCACGGGGCCGAGGAAGACAAGTTGTGCGGTGTCATCGAGGAGGGACGCGCATGTGGCTACTTCGTCCAAATTACGATGCATACAGGCGGTTGCAGGTGGTGCATTGGACACCGATGGTTGGTGGTGGATGGAATGTAGTTCCGTGACGTGTCTCATGAGCTGAAGCAAGACATAGGTGGCGATTAGCCTCGAAGGTGGAATTGACGTTTCTTGTCAGGGCTCGTCAGTTACTTCTGTCTGAGGAAACGAGCTCCAGCTGGTTGGGCTGAAGGTCTGCCAGTTTGACGTGCATCTTGATATTGTCTTTGTACCTCTTGCTGCTTCGGAAGTGTGATGCTGTTGATGAATGATAAGTGCACAACATAACCTGTGCGTGAAAGAGATTTAAGTGAAACAGCCTTTTCACAGAGACAGCCTCACGCTCTCAGCTTCGGTAGTTTGGACCCAATGGCACAAAGATTCGTCATGGCTGGGGACAACTTCATCTACATTGGATGGCCATGAAGTCTTCGGTGCATTTATAATAATCTATGCGAGTGTCCTGTAAATTAAGATGCTTACAATATATATATATATATATATATATATATATATATATATATATATATATATATATATATATATATATATATATATATATATTCAGCAAGAAATAAATTTGCAGAGAGATGTAAAATGTCTTAAATCAATGTTGGCCAATATGACTTAAACGAATCGTTAATGGGTACTGCACAAAACCCGTATACATCCTTCACAGCGTCAAATTCAGTAATTCCATACATTTTGGATTGTTTGTATATATCCTCTATGGTTTTTTGCTCCTCCAGACATAGACATGTTTAATAAAATCTTCCACATTTGTCAGTGTCTGTGGACATTTTCTATTGATACTAAAAGTATTTCTTTAATTATCCTGATTTTCGCTGTCTACATTGACATTGCTTTGTTGACTACTAATTTAACTGTCTTCATCGAAAGATTCACTCATGAGTACTCGGATAACATCGACGACTTACTCATTGATGACTTAGATAGCATGGACGACTTGAAGTTTTCTTGCACAATGTCATACAATGACATTTCCAGCTTTTTGTCATAAACTTGACCGAGTTTACATCGTTCTTGTTACAAATTAATTCATAATTCGATTAATTTAAGAAGATGCTCCTGACTCGTATTTGAAAAATCACACATCTTTTGAGCCTCTTTGAAAAATATTTATGACGTATTTAAGGCAAATAGTGTGGTGTTACAAACAGGCCGTAATTTGGTCAACGTCATTCCCGCATTAGATAAGCTCATACACTCATTAGTCTCTTCAAATTTCTATGCAATCTATGAACTTTAGTGGTGTGGTGTTTATGATTTTTAACTTAGGTTTAACAATTTTTCAGTCATATTGCTACGATGTCTGCAGTGTGGCATTTTATAGTGATGTCTAGCAGTGGGACATCATGCCACAGACATGTAGTATGATGCCCCACCCAGTCACATTATCCTGACACGAGGCCGACCAGTCCTAACACTAACCTCTTAATGCTGAGCGTCAAGCGAAGCAGCTGTTAGTACCATTTTGTAAGTCTTTGTTATGACTCGACCGGGGATCGAACCCACGAGTCGGACGCTCTAACCACTAGGCCACCGGAGCGGTTTGAACTTTAGTAGTGGTCGGTTTCTTTCTGACGCGATCGTTGATGTAAACCATGATCATGTACGTTGATATGGACGTTTATTTTCTTGTGTCTGTACTTGTGTTGATTTGGCTAATATCTCAAGCTCAATGAAATTTACCTGATATAATAATAGCAGTTTATTTGATTTCTGATCCATGTTAAAATGTTCTACACAACATGACTTTTTTCTTATATGGGCCCTTCATGTTACACCTTTCTGGCAGGTTCGCTCAGGGATCGTATGCATCAGCGTGAGAGTTTAGAAAAAAATATAGGGGCTTTGTAGAAGGCTTTTACATAGATACGTAGCGAAAATGCAAACTCCCTATTATCATACTACTGTTACTCAACGGTATTGGTGCTTGATTCAGCTAGATAATAAACAAAAATCCGCTTCATTTAGTTACAGTTAATGTTACGAACAAACTTTGACAACACATTTAACGTGATCCAGATATGTACTCTTCTTGCTATAAAGCTACAACGGTACATTTGGGAAGTTTTCCTTATCGATTATTTACATATGTATTAAGTAAATTCCAATGGTAATACCTTTGGAACGCTAAAATGATAACTATTTTACATGCGCATAAAAAGGCTGAGTTCGATTTTGTTAGAATTTATTCAGCAGAAGTATATTTAAATTTCCTTCAAGAATTTGGATGTCCATTTGTTCAACAGTTAAAAATATTTTTTATTTAAATGTTAGGCTCATTTTATTTACCTCTAAATAACTCAAACGTTGCATTATCATTTATTGATCAAGCTGAATCACAGTTAATAAATATCTTAGTTTGCATGGTAACGATGCTTACAGTAGTAGTAGTAGTAGTAGTAGTAGTAGTAGTAGTAGTAGTAATAGCAACAGCAGTAGTAGTAATAGCAACAGCAGTAGTAATGATAATAATAAATGGTAGTAGTAATAATAGTAGTAGTAGTAGTAGTTGTAGTACAAGTTGTAATAGTAGCAGCAATGGATGCAATACTGCTACCACACATAATAATCATCACAAGCAATTAATTAGTCACAATTGTCGTCATCGTCATTGCCGTCATCATCACCATATTGTGAGTGTCTGCCAGCACACATCACACGTGTAGGCCTATTGACGGGACCAATCCATAACAACCTGGCACATTCAGAGGGTTTGACAAATGCCAAATTCAAAAAAAAAATTGA